TAGTTTTAACTTCTCATTATTTTTGGTATTTTTTATATAGCTTATTACCTTACTAAGTGTTTTTTTAAAAGCTTTCATTTTTTTTTTGTTATCCATTTAATTTGCTTATATAAAGTAGTAAAAAAATTCAAACACTATATTGAAGTAGAAAAATTTATTATTAAACACTACAAAATCAATATTTCATCTCTTCTTGATAACTCTCTCTTTCTTTTTTTAAACTCTACAAACTCTTCAACTTCATATAGTTTAATTTTTCAATAATTCCTTCTATAGATAACATTAATATAGCTACTACTTCCAAAATAATGATATTCTCTACTAATAGTAGACTATTTTTGAAAGAAAATAATGTAAATATGAGGGTAGGCAAGCCTATTTATGCAGAGGACCAAGTTAATGATGGTCAGACCCAATATACAGAACAGGCTATGACACTCTTTGCAGCTGTGAGAGCTGAGCATATGGGTAAAGTTAATAGAAAAGAAACAAATTATTTTTAATACAATTTTTTTAATTTTTAAATTAAAATATCTCAATAACAAATTAATCAAATTTGCTAAATTTTTTTTATTTTAATTTTGAAATTATATAAAATTAAAATAAAAAAAAAATTATAAAATTTAATAAAATAATTGCTAAGATATTTAAGCTTAAAAACTTTTATTTAGAAAAAATTTGTCCTTTTTCTATTAACTTCACCCTATATATTACTATTTTTCTAGCTTAAGAAGCATCTTTAAGTGAGGTAAACCCAGGTAGAGTGAATCTCAGAAATACATAAGATACTTAAAGCTTTCTTTGTAAAGAATCTTTGTGAGTATTTTAACGGATTCTTAGTTATTAAAAAAAAAAAAAATTTAATATCAGGAGTTGTAAAAGTACTCTAAACTGTATAAATTCAATTGAATAAAATTGACCAATCACGAGAAAGTCTTCCTATATGCAAATGCCCGGGGGTATTCTGCGGATAAGAATTCTATTTATATCCGCATGCTATTCATATTAAATATAGAAGACTGGTAAAGTTGAATGAGAAATGTACAGCGGGTATATTTAGTCTTGTAAATACCCGAATACATCAATTGGCACTTTACGGTACTTTTTGATACGTACGTACGAATTTCGCTACTTTTTGGTACTGAGTCATTATTAGTATTATCAAATATCCTGATAGACCAATCAGAATGCATCTCCCAGGGTAAAATATACTTTTTTTAAAAAATTTGCACAAGTGTATCTTCTGCGTGCCATAGGCCTACCGGATTCTTAACGTAAATTTCATGTGGCCAACAAATCAAGAAAAAGTTACCCTATAAAAATAATTGCAACTCTACTTTTTGCTATTTGATAGTGATTAAAAGATTATTATATTGATTTTTATTGGTTTTTTTATTGATGACAAATAACTTAAATATTGTTTAAACAGCTTCCTAGTTATTCAGTCTGGATAACAAATCAATTGCTAGCTCTAAAATGAAGATTATGCAGAATTTGTCACAAATAATATGCATTTGTATGGCAGAAAAAAATTATTTTGATCTAATAGTGAGATGAATATAATGGGAATTTTAAATTTTAATTGTAAAGAAATTAAAAGTACGTACGAATGTTTATTTTTCCTTACCAGGCAGACATATTTTTATTTAATCGTAGCTTGTTAATCCTGAGAACATTGAAACAAATCAACAAATATAATTAAACCAGTTGTTATCAATGCCTACAAGAGTTCATGAGCTTTCTTAATAAGAGCCTAATGAACTAAACACAATAAGGCAATGGAAAAGCACATACATAATTTCACTGGTTTTTACTACGAACCACCCGTTGATAAACTTGGCTGTACATCTTATTTAATTCTGGATCATTCTGATATAAATAAGTCTCTACCAATAAACTCTCCATCTTTTTTTCTAATTGTTTCTGCGCAGAAATGTCTCCCTGGAAAGGTTGAAAGCCTAATCGAAGCTGATTTTTGGACCCTTCGGCTGCAACTCTGCTAAAGGCTTCAAGATTTGCAAGTGAGGGTCTAATTATTATTTCGTCAGAAGGAAACAGCACCGGCCCAATTTGGGAAAGAGCTATAAATATTGTAATAAAAAGTTGACGTAAAATAATGATTTGTTCGAAAATGACCCATCTCGACAAGAATAACGAAGTAATAACAGGAGGTTTTGGATGTAAAATCATGGAAGCTTCAAAACAGGCTATGGCAAGAAATACGACAAGTCTCCAAAACCGACCGAATTGACCTTTGCCTAATACGTTTAAGATGAATAGAACAAGGCCTGTTCCTATATAAAAGCCAAAAAAGGATGTCAACCCGTTAACAAGGTAATCGCGTAATGTGATACAATTGTTGCAATTGTTAATTTCCGCGCCAAATCTATATGGTTATCCACTCGTTATTTAAGAGTCATTAACAGATAAATAAAAAGCAGTAATATTGTCATATGAATCGAACCTATCATATGCGAATCGTTTGACGGGATCTGTTAGAGTATCGTAAGCAACACGTAACCAAATAAAGATTTCTTGTGCGCCTTCTTCTTGATTCTTATCAGGATGGTATTCAAGTTGACTACAATGTTGCAATGTTTTTTTTTTAGACGTTTGACCGGCAAAGAAAAATCATATGAGAAAATAACCTAGGCTCACAGTTTTCTAAAGTTAGCTTTGATCTCTTTGATCGTGAAGTCTTGACTAATCTTAAGTTCGTCATAATAATTAGGTTTTATTGAATAAATAACATCTACAATTGTGTAGATCAAATATGACAGAACTACTATGACGAATATTCTTTTTCGAAGTATCACATATTTCGGTTGGCCAGGTTTTGGAATGTTCGCACCGGCATAATAAAATATTCTGTAATAAATACTTTGAATCCAATTTGTCACTAATTGAGGAAGAATAGCCCAACCCAAAAAATTTATCCAATCTGTCATTATAAAAAAAAGTTAAAAAAGCGCATAACCTGTGAGGTGTCCGTAGGCCATTATATTAAATCCCACGATCACATGCTTTAGGTAAGCTCGATTTTAAGGGTAGGGTGCATGGACGTGGATATCAAATCGTAAATATTTATTTGAGTAAAATTTGGATAAAAAAATTGGATTTTACTAAAACGCACCTATGATGTTTTTACACCATAGGTCCCGTTTCTCAAAAACGTACTAAGTAAACAGAATCGGGTTCTCTAAGTAAAAATGTTCAGGACCCCAAAAACCTCTCAAAAACTAAGATTGGGACCTTATATTAACTCTATAATATATTATATAAAAAAAAAAATAATTCTTAATTTTCTAACCCTAACCCTAAATTTTATTAAAAGAAATT